TATATATATATATAAAATAAAATATTTACTGTCAACCGACAACCAATAAACGCGCCGAATTGCCTCGCTGTCCAACGTAGTTTCACACATATCAACGTGGGAAGCATAGTTTGGCGGGTTTCATTGCGTCTGAGCGACCGCGCGACGCGTCGGTCATGTCACTCGTGCTTACGTTCCATGATCGTTTTGCATAGTTGTGTGCGTACGTGCGTCGCGTTTAACCCGGCGGCACTCGGCAGTGTGCGGTGGTGCTTCGAGTGTTCGATTGCGCGTTATTCTCGCGCGTTAAATGCAGACTTTGTCACATAAAACTTACGTTCGCGACTATGGCGCAATTACGTTACACCCGTAACTTATTCCTGCGCGGGATTTGCATTATATATCTGTTCGCGTTTCTCAGCTTCTACGTGCAGATTCCAGGTAAGGCACTGCACCTCACAGCCTCTCTGCTGAGGCTAATACGCCGATCGTACATCGGCTTTTTTTTTCCCCGTATGCATGGGATTTCTTTATCTCTCCGAAAACTGTTTACTGCTAAACATTTTGCATAAATATTTGAAGAATGCTTGATGCGGCTTGATGCCTTGTGCTACGTAAAGAAAATGACAGTCAATTAGCGACGCTTGTATATGGTACTCTGAAAGATAATATCCTTCGCTCGCACAATACTATTCTGGTATTTCGAACGATTACGCCTTCTTCATTACGTTGCGTAACGGAATTTTAATGCTTACATTGTGAATCGCAATTATAATCCTGAGTGTTTAATTCAGGAATATAAGAAACTATATAAAGTTTATTTTAGCATAGATTATATAGTATTTTTTTATTTTTGTATAAGAACTTTTCTCACTTTCCAAAATTTCTAACATCTGTATATTTTACTTTCAATATAGAAAGTATTCAAAATTAAAAAAATAGACTTTATGTAAATCCCATTTTTGATAGATTTAGGATAGGATATTGCAATGTTATTAATTAATAATGTAAAACAGGATTATATGGTGACAATGGAATCTTACCAGCCAGGACGCAATTGGACCTTAAAGCACGCGCAACATTATTGAATAAAATGAAACAAAAACCAACGTTCTTGTGGTTCGCGCCATATCTGGGGTTAAATATTGATTATATGCTGGATGTGCTGTCTCTTCTTGGAGTTATTCTTTCTTTTGCAGGGTACACTTGAAAATTATAGCAAATTATAGTGTGGTCACTTGCATTACACTAGATTAATGCATATTAAAAGCTGCTATATCTACATGAAATTAGCAAAATTAAATGTAAAGGGATATATATATATTTTTTTTAAATAATTAAATATATAATAAAATATATAATATCACATTTTTAGAATGTATTATTTCGTTATATTGAAGTTTTGATTCTATTATCCTATTGCATTTTATAGATACTTATAAAATAATCTTTTTAATATGCTCTAATTCAGTGTGATCAAATTAATCATTAGAGATTAATATCAAAAGAATACTTTCAATGCGCGTGTAAATATTTGTAAAATTTGTTCAGAAGTAAGTCTTATCATTTATTAATTGTTGTATTTCAATAAATATAAATATTATAATTGCCATTGTAAAGTCATAGTGGAGTCGCTAATGCCTAAAATGACATTTTATTGCAGATTCGTTTCGCAGAAATTTTGCATTGCGCCAGTATTTGCAGGACTGTGGTCTTTATATTATTCTTTGTACCAGATCGGTCAAACATTTATGTTATTCCAATGGTAAGTTCCATGATTTTTTTCATATAAGGCAATAATAAGTGAAAATCGACTGAGAAATGTTCAACATAAACAAGCGAAAAAAGGTTATATTCAATACAGTAGGTCTTAGTGAATAATAATATTTTTTGCAATAAAGTCTTTTAGTGTGTGAATTTTATAATTTCCGGTTCAAGCAAACTGCTCGTTGATTATTTGTCAGTCAATTCTAAACTGGAATACGTAATATACAAATTAAATTGACAGATAATTTAATATTACTGATGTTAATGAATATATAACTTCAAAACACTAAAGAACTTATTGCAAAGAGTATACTTTAATCAGGATTCGAACGAACACGATCTTTTTCATTTGTTGTTTGTTGAACATTTTGATTGATTTTCTTAATATTGTATTTACATTGTCTAAAAAGAATATTTTTTTCAACATGTACTAGTTATTGCAATTGATATCACCTCATCCCTTAGTGATTGAATTGATAAGATACTTATATAGAATGAGAGAACTACAGGTCTGAATCGCGACTGAAGTGATATTTTTCACAATAAATTCAGTATGTTTTAAAGATACTCGTTATCATTATTATCGTTAATATTAAATTGCTTGTCAACTTAATTTGTGATAATATACACTCCAATTTTAGTTTAGGACTGTGATCGATAAATAATCGGCACGCAGTTTGCTTGAACTGGAAATTATAAAATTCATACAAAATATTAGACATTAAACTGAATATAATCTTTTTTGTTTATTTGTGATAATTTATAGATTTCTCAGTCCTGCCAAATCTCTAACATAATTGAGAAGTAATTACTTATAAGATATGTACTAATTGTATCTATTTAAAGAATTTATTGCGAAAATTGTATTCACTAAGATCTGCTTTGCGTGAACATGGAACATGAAACTTTTTCATTTATTTCTATTGAACGATACGTTCAATATTCTCGGTTCATTTTCATTTAATATTGTCTATCTTTATGAGAATAGAATAATTGATTACTATTATGTGTTGAAAAAAGATACCAAACTTTAAGAAGTACTCATGAAAACAAACCAAAAAGTCTTAATAAAGCAGTACTCAATAAGTAGTGCTCCATAAGTAATATATTTATCCTTTATGAGCTTCTGAGCTTCGTTGCTTGTTGATAAGTTTTCAGTTCTTCGTTCAGTCAATGTCAGTTCATCCACGAATGTATTGTTGACAGTGTCTAGTTTTGACACAAAAGTTAAATACTGTTATCAACATATACGAAATAAACCTGAAATCTTTGAATATCTGATCTTCAAAATAACAGCAAGCATCAGAAAACATGCCGAATTGTATGTTGAACTGAACGGAAGACATATTAAACGTCTGCTGTAATTAAATTTATTTTTTACTTTATAACTCGTAAATAAATAATTTTTGGAGTTCTGTTTAATTTTAAGATTTTTCGATTTTTTTTCATGAGTACTATATATTTCTAAAGTTTGGTATCACCTTTTTTGAACATCCTGTATAATTTAATTGCTTGATAATTAAGTTTTGCATGTATTTGGCTTGCAGGGATGTTCTATTACTGGAAGTTGGTTTTCTATGTATATTTGTGGCACCGTTGTGGTATGCTTATCGCGGAAATCCAAGCGATTATATAACACTCTGGGCTGTGCGTTGGTTGCTTTTCCGCCTTTTGTTTTCTAGTGGAGTGGTGAAACTTACTGCAGGCTGTCCAGTCTGGTGGAAGTTAGATGGTAAAATTATTTTTATAGAATCTAAATGCGCATAAAAGTAATATATATATACACATAAAATTAAGTGTTACATATTTATTTCATTTTATAGCACTAAATATCCATTTCGAATCACAATGTATACCAACTGCTCTGGCATGGTATGCACATCATTTGCCAACATGGTTGCTTCGATTATCAACCGTTGCTACAAACGTTATCGAGCTTGCTATACCACTTTTATTTTTCTTCCCAAACAGAAAAGTCAGAATAATAGCATTTTATTTGCAGGTATGTAAAATTATCTATAAGGCAACAAGAATATCTAAGAATTAATTATGTTAATTAATTAATTGATTTTTAAAAATTATGATACTTAATCATTGTTCTAGGTTCTTCTACAAATCTGTATTATTGCTACTGGAAATTACAATTTCTTTAATTTCCTTATGATTTGTTTATGCATATCCTTACTGGACGATCAATTCTTTTACAAACGAAAATCTAAAAATAATAAATCTCGTATTAGAAATTATCTTTCTACACTAATAACTATATTGGTTTATGGAGGAGTAATGTACGGGACATATATTTATTATGGCCTTAAGATAATTGATAACTGGACCATTGAATCTAATATCAGTACGTACCACTATTTTATTGATAATTGATAATAATTTAGTCCTAACAAATATTATTGGTCATAATCACACTTTTTTTTGTAGCATTTACACAGGAGGAATTTGGTTACATTCTCTATCACGTAGTAGTATTTTCGATATATATCGGTCTAATATCCTTTGCATTAACGTTAGTTCCGATGATTAATTCTATATTTTATACAAAAGAAATGCATAAACTAACTGATAAATTGACAGCAACGTTACTTACACTTGTCTATGTCCTTTCTATAGCTTGTATTTTTGCTATAAGCATTGTAAGTATACCAGGTAGCTTTAAGCATGCTTATAATTACTGAGAGTTCAATACTGTGACACATATGCAGCTTGTTATTATATACATATAAAATATGAGGTAAATGCTTGTAGGTACCATATTCCTCTTTATCTAAAACGTTTAATTCGACAATGATTGATCATCTGACTCCACTGACTCGATTACATTCAAAAGTAGATCATCTTCATATAACGAATAGGTATGGACTGTTCAGTCGTATGACAGGAGTCGATGGCAGACCTGAAATTGTGATAGAGGGAAGCGACAGTATTGAAGGACCCTGGAAGGAATACGAGTTTTTATATAAACCAGGAAATGTTAACAATTCATTACCATTTGTTGGTAAGATATTTTCATACATTGATATATCAAGATCATTTCTTTTTATATTAATATTTTTTATTTTAGTTTAATATTGTATAAACGATGAAGAATTAATATTGTATAAAAGATGAAAAATTCTTAACAATATTTCTTTTTTGCAGCACCCCATCAACCTCGTCTTGATTGGCAAATGTGGTTCGCTGCGTTAGGTACATATCAACAAAATCCATGGTTAATGTCACTAGCCTATCGTTTATTGACTGGACAGCCCGAGGTACTAGCTCTAATGAATACTGTTGAAAATCCATTCCGAGATAGACCTCCGAAATATGTTAGAGCTAGTCTTTATCATTATCATTATACACCATGGAGTCAAACGTGAGTACATTCTCATATCAAAGTACGTGTGTGTGTGTGTGTGTGTGTGTGTGTATGTGTGTGTGTGTGTGTGTGTGTGTGTGTGTGTGTGTGTGTGTGTGTATTCCTGGATTTTTCGTATAAACTTTGATAGTATTCTATGCACTGAAAGTAAAAAAATTGTTGTATAAATATAAGTCTTTAAATATTTTATTAAAAAGTTACAACAAAAATATAAAATGTATAAAAAAATTTTAGTTTTTGCATTTCAAAAATTGCTGTCCGCCTTCCACTTATATTAATACAAACTTGACATCAATGTAATTTTGAATTTATCATCTTTTTTACGACAGTAGAGGAAATCTTCATAAGAAGATTTCCTTTATTTTCGTAAAAAATGGTAATAAATTACATTGATTACAAGCTTACATTACATGGGCAGATAGCAATTTAAAATGTAAATTTATTCACATTTCATATTTTTGTTATAACTTTCTAATAAAGTATTTAAAGATCTATCGTTTATATAATATTTTTTCTTATTTCAGAATTATTATTATGTTTATAGAACATACTATCAATATTTACAGTACAAAAAAAATCGAGGACACCCTATATAAATAAATAAATTCGTGTGTGTGTGTGTGTGTGTGTGTGTGTGTGTGTGTGTGTGTGTGTAATATATTATATATTAGATGTGGGAAAAAGTTCGTGGCATTTTTCCCGTTAGATGGCATTAAAAAAACGTCACGTAATATATATATATATGTATGTGTATATATATGTATATTGTATATAAAATTATATGTATGTACATATGAACGCATGTTCATTTTAAATAACATGTAAATGAATTTATAATCTAATATATATATAAAATATATACACATACATACTTCAAATATATATGCAATTACATATGATTGAAGTCAACGTGATGCTATAAATGCTTGAAGGATTCTTTGATTAGTCAATTTGTAAAATTCTTTCTTTTGATTGGACCAATCAAATACTTGAAAGTATTCACTAGGGATGCACTTACCAATATCCAACATTACCTAGCATTTTTTTACTATCTGACCAGATATTCGGATATCATCCGATTGAAATTTGATATCATTAAATAGATTTTTTTATATGAATGTTCTAGAAATAAATATGCATATTTATGATGTTGTGATATGTTTTTGTTGCAAAATTACAATCTTTATTAGTTTTTTTTTTTTAGAAGACACTTTCTTCGAATCTGGTCAGATATCCGAAAAATATCGGATATCCAACTTGAAGAAATTGCCTTCTCAGATATCCGATGTTACATTTTGTTCGGATATCTGATATCTGGTAATTTTACGATCCAATGCATCCCTAGTATTCACAATGAGATTTTAATCACATCTTAAATTTAGTATATAATTTAATCCTATTGTTCTTATAGATCGAATACTCGTGCTTGGTGGACTAGAGAAAGAATAGGAGAGTATTTCCCAACATTCAGCCAAAATCACTCTCCACTTATTGAATTTTTAACAAAAACAATGAAGATTCTTCAAGAGAAGCCAGGTTTTAAGGTCACAAATGAACCACTCAAACTGATTTTGGACAATCTTAGATCTTTGGTCAGTAAAGTAGAACCGAGTCTAATATTATGGAGCGTTTTCACAGCCGGTTGCGCAATAATCGTAACAGGTTACAGCAATTCAGTATCGAAAAAAAAATAATTATATTGAGCGATAATCATTATAAAAACTTAATAAGTTACAAGGTATTGAATATTAACAAAATATAAAAGCTGTAAAATATGCATATATCAGCTAAATAAGAATTGTTTGCAATGTAAACTTAGGGTCACAAGATACTTTTTGCATGTAAAATATACATCTGCATTTCTTCCTTCCATCTAATAGGTCTTTGTTAGACAATATTAACTATTATGTCGTGTAATAACAATGCATTAAATATAAATCTACTAAGATAATTACTCATAAGAAAAGAAGGAAAGACATTTCATTTTCCATAAAGAATTTATGAAAAGATTTGATGTATCCGATAAATATGTTCAAAATATATTATATGTATATCCTATTTACATTGTTAATAATTTGTATTTCATTGTATTTACTTATTACAAAAAGTATGTGATATAATTTGTAATATTCAATACATACATATATATTGTATGAATGTATAAATCGGAGATCTCGTTTCATATGTTTTATGAATTTATTATATATTACAAATCACTTGTTAGCATTAATTTTGATGGTTTTAAGAAAGATATTATTGAATACTTGTAATGAAACAAAAAAAGAGATATAATCATTGATAAAAATAAGAAACGAGAAAAAAGATACTTTATTATAAAATATATTTTCTTATACAACTGCTCATTGTATTTTTTCTTATGTGTTTTACAAATATTATATGTCTCTCGATATCATTTACATAGACTGTAAATAGGTTTCGATAAACGTAAATTCGTTTAAAACTACTACTTTGTTAGTAGCCACTCTTATGGCCTCCCTAAAATCTATAAATGTAATTTTATATCTTAGTTATAATTATACTAGATGAATATATATATATTTGTAATGCGCATGCATAAGTTTTAGATTGTATACACGTACATATGTACTAAATTTTCCAGGTCACTATTGTTAATTATCACAGTTATATAATACATTATGAATTATTTTCAGAAGATTATATTTGTAATAAATAAAAGCTAGTCTTTTTTTCTACGCCCATTTACTTTAATATAAAAGGAAATGTAAGCTAAAAAAATGTATCATGTTTGGAGATAAATAAAACTTTAATGCTTCCTATAAATATTTCGATACTGATTTGAATGACATCCAGAATTTTTTTCCAGCGTTATTTTCTAGTGATTTTATATTTTTTAACTATTTTACAGCTACGTACTCTAGGAAGATTTGTCAATGCAATGTCCAAGTTGAGTTGAGAATTGCTATCAGTCGAAACGTTTGAATTGTTTCTTTTATTTAGTTCCAAAGGATTTATTTCTGTATTTTCGTCTTCACTATCGTCTTCAAACTTTCTTTTTGTTGAAATAATTCGATGAGTCGACTTATCTTTTAAAAATATTGCTTCTGGTCCTTGCACTTCCAGTATAGTATTTGACAAACCTATTGGAAGTTCAAATAATTGCCGTAAGCGAACTCGTAGCAGCTGATATTCGGCGCTCTCCATTTCCATAAATTCAGAATTTGTCGCATTACGTTTTGATTTTGATTCATTTCCAAATGATGCCATCAATTCACATCGTAGATGAGATTCGTGTTGATAGTCGTACAGTAATTTCCAAAGAAATAAATTCTTCATACCTGTCAAAGTCGCTTGATTTGGTGGAATTATATTACCCATATTTACATCTTCAACGTCTTCCTTGACACTCGTAGTTTCCTTGTTAAACTTGTTTAATTTCGATTGTTCGTAAGCTTCCAAACTTACCTCTGATTTATCAGCTTTCTTTAACTTATTTAATTCCACTTGTTCGTAATCTTCCGAACTGATTTCTGAATTCACATTCAGTTTATTGTGTTCTAATAAAGTTTCTTTTGACATCTGTGTTTTTTCAGCAAAAGAAAAGATACATTTTATTGATTTATATAAATCTAAATTTTTTTGCTCTAAAAAATTATGGTAATCACTTGTTAAGAATTGACCAAATTTGTAAAACTGAATTTCTTCCTCAATATTAACAAAAGGAAATACGGAGGGAATTATAGAGAAATCTGTAGGTACATCAATAAGAAATTTTTCATTAATGGCTAAATTATAATTTATAGATGTGTTTTTTTGATTTTTAATTATTTTTCTGAGCTTTACATGTCCATCAAATGGAAGTGGTGGTATAAAAAAATCACCTTCATTAACTTGTGAGGCACAACCGAACATTCGTGTACTATATTTTTCTATCAGTTCATTACTCTGTATATGTCTTACATTTAAATATTTTTTTAAAGAAATTAAAAGTTGTTTCTCTTTGTTATTCAACTGCACATAATTCAGAAAATCATCTGGAATATCAAGATTGGCGTTTAATAAAGTTAATGTGTTGTATAATTTTTTAGTATCACGTATAAGCTGTTCAATGCTGTAAAGTTTTTCAGAATTATTAGGTTTAATTGAAAGTGGAAAACAAAGAACTTCATATAATCTTAACTGAATATCAAAAATATTTACAACAGATTGTATCTCAAATATTGCATTTTTAATATGTCTTTTTGGTGCTTTATTGGGTGATGATTTTTTATTAATAAAATTTTTTTTATTGGGAATTGTAGGGGGCAGTCTAGGTATAGTTTCAAGACTGACACCCTTTGCTATATACTTTAGTAATGCGTTATATCGATGTCTTACTTGTGTTCTTGTTTTATCAGAAAAATATTTGGCTATTCTGGACCAATCGTTACTATATTGCAACTGTAGATTAATTAACATCATATCATCATTGAGCGTCCAAATATTGTATCGATTATTGATATTGGATACCACCGTATGATAACGCTCTTGGAGTTGTACCGAAGTTCGATGTGACATTACAGTGGTTGAAATTTTACAGAAGTCCATGCCATACTTCTGCACCGCTTTCAGGAGAGTTAATGTTTCCTGATGAGTGAATCTACCTTTTCTCAAATGCGGTGCTTTCCTATACGTCCATCGTACATAAATTTGTTGCTTGGTTCTGTGCCGAAAATGATTAGCAACATCGGACCAAGAGATATAATCTCCGATCTTGATTGCGTTTATAATTTTTGCAAGATGTTTGTCCTCCTGCCTGGTCCATGGTTGTCCAGCTAATGGTACTTTTTTGATAGTATTATATCTGATAAAACATTGATACGCGCTACGATTTGTGTCTAATTTTTGCGCAATAGCATCCCAATCTTGACATTTATATTCTATAATACATTTCAGCAATTTCTTATCTTCTGCATTTGTCCATTCACTTTTCTTGAAAGCAGGATGCAGGTAGACATTCCACATAGCCCTGCATTCGCCTGGTGAATGTTTATTATCAAAATCCATAACAGAAATCTTGTGCCAATCGAATTCTCTCACACCCAACGGTCCCACCATCTCGTTAAAGTTTCTGGGAATCACTAATGTAGTTTTCTTAGTTTGATCATTAGATGTCGACTCGTCAATTTCTTTGTTGAATCCTCCAGACAATACAGATTCGATAGCTTGATTGTTTATGGCACTTAAAAGCATTTCTCTGTCTTTTCCTGACCAACGATTAGGCTTTTTCAAATTCAAAAGGAACACTTCACCAGCAGCTTCCTTTCGCTTAGTATCAATATTCTTGGGAGCACCGAAATAATCCTTGTCTTTGAAATATGGTATACCAGCATTACTGATTGCCAATTTGGAATTTGAACTCGACTCATCCGTGGATTTCTTCAACTTCTCGTCCAGTAGCCTTATCTTCTGCTCACACTCTTCTAACAGAGCAGTCAATTTCTTCTTAGCTATTGTCAAGCCCGAAATCAATCTTGTATTAATTTCATAAGCGTTTAGAGACTTTTCAATTTCTTGATTCGCTTGGAGATAGTTGACACAGTCATCGTCATCCTCAGCGTCGACATTCGACGGAACATCAGATTGTTGATTGCTGCTAACATGTTGCTGGGATTTTTTTTTCGCAGACAGAGCTAAAACTTCATCAAGAGCCTGAATATCAGCTTGGATATCCAAGAGGTCCAAGTCGTCAAATTCACTCATAATGAATGAAGATATATGACTTCTTGTCTGCTTCTTGTGTGAGTACTGTAGTAAATAAATCAAATTATACACAATGTATCTGAGATATTAGAGATTTGGTAAACGAAGGACAAACTTACATATTGACCGGTTCCTGCAACCGGATGTGTAAAAGAAAGTTGAAGTCCTTAGGAAGTCCTCTCAAGCAATATTGAGTAATAAAACAACAATACTGGATATGATATCATTATTAATCAAAATAAAATCATGTACTTGGCAAACAAAGACAAACAATTTTTTCCCATATTTCTCTTGCACTATAAAATAAAAATTGATTACTAACAACAAATTTTAATAAACTTAATTACTAAAAATTGACGATATAATGTCATCTAATGATGAATTCTGTCACTCAGATTAGTGTACATTAAAGCCTGCTTTATATAAAACATCTAAATTGTTAAAGATATTTATTAAAAAAATACTTTATATTAAATATTTGCAGTGGCATAATGTAATCAATTTTAATAATAACTTTTCAGCAAAAGACAAAGAGTATTTTATTTACTGATCCATTGACAAACATTCTATTTTTCTTGACATCCAATGAGTGACAAAAACGAAACGACATTATATTAACTTGTGTCACTAATGCCCATTTCCGTCAATGTAAATTAACTTTAATTTTGGTTCAACTTACTCTTTTTCTAGTTCAAAAAATTAGAAAAAGATGAAGAGTAAGTTGAACCAAAATTAAAGTTAATCTACGTTGATGGAAATGGACATAAGATCAGTTTCACAACTCATAGTTAATTCGGTTAAATCTTAATTGAGGTTTAACTTATTCCTCATCTCTTTCTAATGCTAGAATTGGAAAGAGATGAGAAATAAGTTGAACTGTGAATTGTGAAAGTGAGCCTAAGGGTGGATTGTGTCACTAAGGATGGGTTGTTCCACCTTTTGATTAAACTTCAGCTCACTCTCTTATTTTTTTACTCTCTTATTCTATTATTCTTATATTCTTTTATTTATACATTAGATAAATTATTGCATAATTTATCTAAAGATGTAACAACTGATCTTAGGATATTCTCTATTTGATACAAGTCGGTATGAGTATTGGGTAAATGTTTAGAAGTACTACCCTATCAAAAATTATAGTTTTTTTTTCAGTAGTTAACAAAACTAGTCATAAAAACATATATAAAATGTTTTAAGAACGGACTCATTATTCTTTTGGAGAAAACTTGACAATTGCATATATTTTCTTATATAATTTAAATTATAGCAAAAAATAATTCATGATTCAAAATTTATATATATATAACATAATTCTCTGTTTTAATTAATTTAAATTATAGCAGAGGCATAAATTCCTTCTTAAAATATTGTATACGTGTCCTTTTATAATTAGTGCTAATTATTGAAAAAAACTACAGTTTTGATAGAGTAATACTTCTGAACATTTATCGAAGTCTTTTCTAATCTTCATAAATTTCCATTTTAATATATCAGACTCAATTTAATAAGACGGAAGATTTGGGTAACAATTGAGAACGATATTTAATCAATATAAAATTGATTTAAAATTTTAAATATACTGTATTATGTCGATTTTATTTTTTTTTTATCATTATCGTTTTCCTCACAAGAATCATATGTTCTTTCTTAACATTGTGTACATGTCTTTTTCAAGTAGTTTTGATAAATGAAAAAAACTGTGATTTTTGACAAGTAATATTAAATTATTTATATATTAATTTATTATTTAAGTATCGTTTTGTTTTTGTTATTCATAGAATACCAAGAAAGATAGGACAATATTTTTGCTTGTATCACCAAATGGGGAACATCCACAGATATTACAGTGAATTATGTTATCTTTGTTTAACATTGGCAATAAGGATGAATATAACAATAAAGATTCATTATTATATCTGTGTCTCTTACTAGAAAACATCTATTATTCTTTGTTATTTATCAATGTTAAGTAAACATTAGGTGGATACAAATGCGTTTCATTTCTGTTATATATTGAATGCAAGAAGAATAGAATGACGTTTATGGATGCATTCCATTTATGATGATTTGTGATACAAGTTGATTCAAATGTTGTTTTTATCTTTCTTGACATTCCATAAATAATAAAAACAGAATGATACTTGTGTTAGCTCATGTCGACTGTAAAGCATCCTATGTCGACTGTCAATTGTTGTTTACTTCTACTCATATAGATTAATCTTTAATTTACTTTTTCTTCTGTTCTAAAATTCAGGAAAAGATAAAAAGTAAATTAAACCGAGATTAAAGTTAATCTACATTTTGACAGAAAGGGATATATTTTGTCCATTTCTATCAAAGAAAGACAGCCAAAGTTATGTTACACTGTGTTATTCGTGTTTCTTGTGGAAAAAGTATCCAGTATCATCATTGGACATTTAAATAATTTAAAATATTTACACGCCTTTATACATTTAGTTTTGCTAATTTAATGCATGTACAGCAATTTTTAATACATGCATTAATCTAGTGTAAATAACCAAATTCTATAACAAAATATTATAATAGAATTTAATGGAGATCAAACTCTTTCTTACGTGTCTCGATTGAGCGAATGACGCCAAGTTAGCCAAATAGCGATGTATCCAGAAAGTTCGAATATCATGTGATAACTGACAAAATGTAATGTATATGATACTTGTCAATTGAGATCTCAAAATCGCATTATTAGCGATCGCTTTCATCCACTTGTCGACTCCAGTCTATTCCAATCTACTCGTTAGAAGTCTCGCACGAATCCCTTTTTTCTGCCCTTTTCAACAAAAAAATCATCTCTCTGAGGGCAAATATCTCACTGTTTTTTCGCAAATTCTGAATCAGACCATCGCTGGCCATTCGTGATTATTCGCTCGCAGGCACTTGAGAACACTTGCGAGGCTATAAATAGCTATATATATTTGTGCGCACACAAACGGCGCAGGTATAGCAGACGTCGTTTAACTGTCAGTTGCGTTTTCACAAGTTTATTTTTTTTATAACCAAACTAATTGCCTATTAATACATGCCTTTTAGCCAATTCGCTTATTACTGAATTAATTATTAAATATTGTAGCTTTACTGCTAATTTTCCAATCCGCTTGCAATCAATATCGATTTTTCAACTACTTCTTTTTTTTAATAATATTTCTTTAATCTAAAAAAATGTTAATACTTTATAATACTTTTGACAAAGATAGAAAAAAAATGTTTTTGTTTCTATTAGTGAGTCCTCTAAGCGACGATGATTCTATTAATGTGCCCCCAATTTGTGCGCCTATCTACATTTGACTCATTTTAACATATAGTTACTACCAGCAAACGAGAATGGATTGAAATGAAATGAAATGGATTCAGATTTTTAGAAATATTGATTCACAAATGTTAAAATGAATGCTTTTCAATCCTGAATGTATTTTTATTCATTTATAGGAATTGCATGGAGAATATCTCTATGCCTTTCAATCTAATAATATTAGCTTTTTCTGTGCAAAAACATATAATATAATTGTGAATACTGTTCAATTCAAAATTTTGAATAGGAAATGCAGTTTTTCAATCCAATTGAATCTAATTAAATTCAAAAAAAGTATTCGCTATTTAAAATACGCATTCGGATAGAAACAAATTTCAATCCATTTTAATTCATTGGGATACACGAAATTAGCAAAGTTAAATATAAAATACAATATTAAGCAAGAAATTTCTAAAAGGCCGTAAATATGATAACTTCCTAGCAAACAAAAATGGATTAAAATGGATTGAAATTTTTTTCTATCCGAATGGATGTTTAAATAGCGAATACTTTTTTTTGATTTAATTGGATTCAATTGGATTGAAAAACTGCATTTTCTATTCAAAATTTTGAATTGAACAGTATTCACAATGTGTGTGTTGTGCACAGAAAAAGCTAATATTATTTTTAGATTAAAAAGCATAGAGATATGCTCTATGCAATCCTATAAATATGTAAATATAAATAAATAAAAATGCATTCAGCACATTGAAAAGCATTCATTTTAACATGCGTGAATCAATATTTCTGAAAATCTGAATCCATTTCAATTCATTTCAATCCATTCTCGTTTGCATTCGGGTTGTGCGATTAAATGTATAAAAGCATATCAATATTTTAAACAATTAAATCTGCCCGTACAGCACATACAGAATTTGCAGCAATACCGCTGCAATATTGCTGCAATGTTGTAGCATTGCTGCAATTTTTGTGCTGTAGCGGTAATGAATATTGTCAGGTTTAATTTATACGAACAGAATATATATACAATATATTATTTCATCAAATTATAAAACAACCAGAGAATTATACGAGCTAAACAAAATGCTATAAAATAATCTTTAATGTCTACAAGAAAAACTGCGTTCTATTAATTGGCCTCGATCGTTGTAAAAGCGAAAAGGAAATAATCGTTTTCTAACTATCACAATAAACAACCTCATGGAAACGTGAAGATATCATTCATCGGGATCTGCGCTTCGCGCCAGTGAGATCGAAACAAACGAAAAATATCGAGATGATCGAAACAGATGAACGAAGTAGACGGTCGATCGAGAGTCGCCGGCTGTCGCGTCCGTTAATCGTTGCGTTTTGTGTTACGAACGGTTCATTTTTTCACTCTACGAAAATTAAAGAGATAACATTTAGTATGCATGTTCTGTATCATCAACGTAAACGATCAGGAGGGAAATGTATTGAAGATTCAATTTTAGGGTTCGAATTAGACTCCGAATCAAAATTGAGCGAACGTTCCGAGTGCCACGTTTTGCGTCGCAGCAACAGAACGCGAGTCGTCAATGTATCACGCTGTGTGGGTGCTGGGCGGCTCGAGTCACGTGGTCGATGACGTAACTCGCAGAAACGCTATGCCGGCGGTGTTTTCGATAGTCGAGCGGTTTTTCAGGCCATATCATATATATCGAGGAGAGTAATAAGTTCTTCTTTCGCGCGGAAGGAGCAATTTTTTCAGGTTCTTTCGTGGGTTTCGAATCTCATCCGCGAGTTCCGTAACGCCAGGAAAAATTTTTATCTGGACGCGATCTTTTGTACTAATTGTACTTAATTCTTAGCGCACCGTTGCACACGCACGAACGAACGGCGGAGGCGCCACGATAGTGTTTCTATAATAATTAATTGTAATAATATAAGAGTTTCTGTGACAGTAATATAGTTTCCATAATTATATAATAATAATATAATTCCCATAATAATAATTACTACAGGAACTGAGGAACGTCAGGGTAGCCGGCGGACGCGCCAGCCAACCAGCCAATGGATAGTTTTGACATTCGGCCGGAAGTAGCGCACATATGTTTCCGATGTCGCCGCTGCGGAGGCGCGGCTGCGCAGTCGGCTCGCGGTCCGAGTTATGTCGACTGATGTCGACCGAGGAACGGTGGTAGAGGAGTGATGTATAATACGTTGACGACTGTTATCATGACCACCTTCATGACAATATCCTTCGGTTGAGAAGGTGCGCCGTAATCAGTTTATACACGAGAAGGAGACTGTGTTGACGAGAAATCTACTTTATTGCGGCTGATCAGAGACAAGTTTTCGCTCTTTCCTCTCGTTCTCTCTCTCTCTCTTTCTATCTCTGGTAGCAGCGGCAGAGAAGGAGAGGTCCAGCCGCGCAAGAGAGTGCCGCATTAGATCTTCGTGCCGTCGTACCGTATCGTACCGTACCGTACCGTACCGTTCCGTTCCGGGGGCGGTGATCGGCGCGATCGGCCGAGCGGAGCGGAGCGGAGTGCAGCGGCAGCGCAAGGGACCCTATGTCAAATCGACGTCGACGGCGAGGACGAAGCGCGCCAGCATGAAGAAACTATTCTCCAAGATCGACAACACGTCGAAGGAACCCAACAGTTACCTGGGGAAGGTGTTTGTCGTGGGCCGCCATACCGTCACCGTTGAAGAAGTCCTGGCAGAAGGTACGCTGTTTTCTTAAACATTGCTTCTTTTCTGACATTTCTTTTATGACGACATCGACACTTCCTCTTGTTCCCGCTCTTGTGTGTGCTCCTCTGTGTTTCAGCCTCCAGTAGAAGTGTACGCGACTGGAAGTGTCCCCTCTGTTCTATTTTGCACCGCAACCTTGCCCGCCCTCTCCGCCATGCCTGGCTGTCCCGCTTTTTTCTTTCTCTCTCTCTTTCTTTCTCTTTCTCCTCTCCTGGATTGTCCTCGGCGAGTGTGAGATAAGCGACAACAGTATACGATCTCCATCCGCATCCGGGGCGGGTGGTTGGTGGACATCATTAAGCTCCCCCTTATAGAAATTTAATACTGATTAATTACTCATTTCGAAGATTAATAAGTTCTTAAACAACAGTGCTTCTCTAATACTCAAAAATAAATAATTTTTAGTATCAAATTGGATTTCTGTAAAGACCATTAACTTTTGATACGTCGACCAACAAATTGTGCGTTTTACACTGTTAACAAAATTCATGGTTCCAGGAAATGTCAATTCTGTTGTTCTGGAATAAACAATCAGTTGCCTTTCAGACAGCTAATGCAGGATTTACACAAAAAATCTAAAATATTTTAAACATAAATAAGAGAGAAGAAGAAAATCATTTTTCGATTAAAGCGGGTCTTGGTGCTTAGTAACATTCATATATGAAGAAATATAATTGATATTTTGCTAAGATATTTTATGATTTTATGACGAGTATCTAAGTTCATTACTTCTCAGGAAATACATGAATTGTGAAGTGTCAGTTTCATATCATTTAGAAAATTAGGATGTCAATGTTTCAGGGAGCTAATATTGCGAGAAGTTTTTTTATATGTAATAGTTGCATTGTGTGGAATGCCAGATGACAGATATATTGTTACATGTCAATATAACTGAAACTGACAAACAAATTTATTGTCTGATCAGTAAATTTACTTTGAGATAAAGCCGAGTAGAGTAGTATCTTTTATTACCACTCTGTAATTGTATCTGTGTCAAGTTACATACAATGCGTAGTAACTTTGTAGATTTCCTATTTCCTATTTCATATTTTTTTCATTCTGATTATAATTTTTTTCTTTAATTTAATATGACTATAATTAAATACTGAAAACATTTTGCATTTGTTTTCTCTCTGTCTTTCTATTGTGTGTCTCATAAGATAATTGTTGTTTTACAGGAGGATTTGCGATTGTGTTTTTGGTCAAAGCCTCAGGTGGACGATATGCACTTAAACGAATGTATGTCAACAATGAACATGATCTCAATGTATGCAAAAGAGAAATTCAAATTGCTGTGAGTACTTTCGTAAATAATGAAATGTTAGTTCGTGCTATAATTTATTTTAATTTTTTTTTTAATGGAAGTAATAAAGGCATTATATGGCATTTTAATTACATGAATTGAAAATTGAATGAATTATTTCTATTTGCAGAGCAACCTGAGTGGTCATAAAAATATCATAGGATATGTAGATAGTAGCATAACTCACACCACTGGAGGAATACACGAACTTCTGCTTTTAATGCCTTACTGTAAATCTCAAGTTCTTCAAATGATGAATAACAGGTTAGAAGAATTTTTTTTAACATTCTTTATTTTTAATAATATTTAGACAATTTTGTGTGTGTGTGTGTGTGTGTGTGTGTGTGTGTGTGTGTGTGTGTGTGTGTGTGTGTGTGTACATATATATGTATAT